CCCAGCAAGCCGGGCTCCTTATCCAACCAGCTGGTACCAGTTACAGACCACTACACCCACAGCTGGCAAAAAAGCTAGTTTCCTCCTTCACGCAGCTGCTAAGCTAATTTAAAAGGCAGTAAACAGGTGTTTCTGATAACGGCTCTTCAATATAAGCAATTGTAAAGGTAGCAAGTTCATTAGAGTCTTTTTGTTGCTTATGGTTTTCCTGTGCAAGATGGGAGTACACTTTTCATGTACATAGTTCCTGAGCCCTGTTTGATTATTTTCTTGTATGGGACTATATCAAATATTCTACTTCTGTTTTTTCACTGGTAGAAAATAACCAATCAAATTACTTTGGGTGCATAAAAAGCTTGTAATTTACCTATTTTGCTGCAGAATATGAGACAAAAGGGAATAAACCCACCAAATTTCTGAACAGGATGCCTTTATACAGTGTCAGATGGTAAAGTCTTCTCACACTGTCCACTAATACATTTTTTTTCCCAGAGAGGTGTTTATACTATTGCAAATAATGCAGCCTTCAAGTAGGTATTGCACCACTGGAACAGTTTAGGTAATATGCTAATTTATGGTTTTCTGGGAGATGCTTTAAATTGACTAGCATAAACTCATAGTTTTACTAGCAAGATGCAAAATGTAATATGCAAAGGATAGACCAATTTCAGTTTGAAGTTATCATCCTTAACACAGCCTTAAAAAAAAGTTATGCTGCATATTGCTCAGTCTTGATCCTGCCTTTTCAATGTATTTGTTACTGATTGTTTAAAATGGAAAAGAAAAAAGCCTTCTATAAAAATATATATGAGAAAGAAAAGATGCAAAGATACTAAGAAGTGTAATTACTCAAGTTTCCTCTTTCATTGAAGATCAGGAAATAGACACATCTGAGCTATATCTTAGCTGCATTGAAATCATATAGTTGATACAAAGCACACTAAGTATAACCATGCTGAAACATTATGGACTAATCATATAGCATTTAATGTTTATACTGAAGATATATAAAACAAATTACAGGTGAGATTCAGGGTTGTAACTACAAGCAAGACTCTGAAAACCCAGGACATAAAGCATGTGCTTGCTAGAAGGAATTTGGGGAGGAAGAGAAGAGATCAAGATTCATAACAGATCTTCAGAGAATCATATATTTTAATAGCTGATTTTTCTTGCATATCCTCAGAAATGTCACTTGTGTGTCAGCCTTCTATTTACATCTCCAGAGAGAATGGCTCAAACATTTGCAGATGATATTTTGGTGTTGTCTGGAAGGTACCAATATATCTGAGGATGAGGAAGGGCTTGCTGAGTAGGCTTAAAGAGTGAGCATAAGCCTGGAAGGACGTTTGTTCCTTGTCCTCCACTGGACTGCAACTAGTAACTGCTCAGGTCAATGTGCTGCTTTTCCACATCACAGATGAACACTGCCTGGGCCGTCGCTTCTGCCGCGGGCCGCAGAGCTACATTCCGAGGCTCCAGAAGTGCTGTTTTCCATGCACCTGAGCTGAGCATCTTGTAGCAGGTTGGGTGATCTCCATTCTGTGCAGGATTGCACCACTGGTAAAATGCGTTATTAAAAGAGCAGAAGAGTCCCTTTTGTGCATTCCTCTGACTCCTGGTAAGCCCTTGTGATTGCACAGTTCTTCCACGTTATTTTTCTTAGCTGGTCAGTTGATACTTGCTGACTACCTTTTTCTTAGAGGATGGGTACTAGAAAGCACTTGATCCATCCATGCTCCAGAACCGGGCCAGTGTTCCCAGTGTGTATCTCAAAGTAACTTTGATTACAGATGTGCATGACCTTTAGGATCTTTTCACTATCTTGAATAATGGACAAAGTGAGCAAGAAACTTGTATCACTTGCGTAACATGGGACAGGTCATCAGTATCTTTCTCTTTTCTGTTCCAACATGGCCATGTGCTTGACTTTTTGAGTCTTCCGGCAAGCAGCTGGAGAACTGCTGCAGCTACTTTCAGCCTTACTAAAAGCAGCAGTAGCAAAAAATTCAGAAGATAGTCTCACTGTGCTGCTACTTTGCAAAATCAGTATCAGGTACAGGAGCAATTTTCTGGACTGCAGTAAAAGCAATCCAAACTCCCTGCTGTCAGATGTCAAGTAAGAATGATTTTAACAAACACTTTGCCAGTCAGTGGGGCATGCATGCTGTCTATCCCTGATAAACCTCATTATCATTTTTTATGGCATGCAGCATGGTTTAAAATACTGTATGGGGTCACCTTTAGACTAGTGCGTGTTTTGTGGCTGGCTGTGGCTAGATAAAGTAAGGACAGCATGGAAAACTGCAAAGTGAAGGCAACAGGTCAGATGATAGAAAAGTCAGTAGAAATTTAGTTTTGTCTTTCACACAAACAGGCCTAAAATGTCTTACAGTGTTGCCACAAGGCAGGTACAGAGTACAGTGATGATGACGATGTTAACAAGTGCATATGCAAACAGTATGTCTGAAGAATAGAGAATCTTGAGAGACAAAGTTTCCCATGAGATTTGCAAAGATACAAAAAGCCAGACAGGAGGCAGCCGGCTGCTCTCAGTGAAAGAGGCTACAGCGAGCCGTTGCACAAATGTATAGGAATAGCTGAGGGCATAGAGGAAGATCAGTGCAAAAACTGAAGAGATAAAATCTGTGAGGTAGGTAGTGGTAAGGCAAGAGGGAAATCTTAGATGGGATAAGCATTTGAAAACTCAGTTTTTAAATTAGTTAAATGAACCATAGCTGGCATTCTCATATGCCAGCATTTCAGATTTGGGCAGCCACACTGCATTATGCAGGACTCAGCAACTAGCAAACAAAACAAGCACCAAGTCAGATGTAAGAACAAACATCTGTTGTGACTCTCCTCAGGAGTAAAAATCTAGCACAGAATGTATGCGGGAAGGGATTTGTGACCTACATGCGTCTCAATGTGTTCTATGGATGCTTCCACAAAAGGAAATACCAAAGCAACTGCTGAAAGGCTGATATTTGACATTATTGTAGCCTCTCAGCCATCTGCTAAATTAGGGCTAGTCTACACGCCCAGTCATATTGCACTCACACTTTACATTAATGTTCCACTTATAAATGAGTTTAAAAGGATTAACTGATGGTTAGTATGTGTTATAAACATACTGAATAAATAGCAGTATGTACATAATTGCAAGCATACCCATGGAATGTATTAGTGATGGTTATAAACAATCTAGCATGGTACTCAATGAAGGGATAATTGTTTTATCAAGTTTCTATAGTTTAATACAGAGTCTATGACTACAGTTTTCTATCATCTCAGTCATTAGCCTGTCAAAAGGTGCTTGTATGTCCTTTGGCTTTTCTGCTTCTTTGGAGATTGCTGCTGCTACTTTTGACTTACAATAACTGTGGTAAAATTAAGCTCTTTGTTTCTCATGGGTGACACTATGTGCATGACTCGGGGTCAGATTTAACACAAGAGCCTATCTATCTTCAACCTTATTTAGAGGCAAACGGACAGCATTGGCTCTGTGTGGTGCATGATAGTGTAACCAAAAAGAAAGGCCTGTAACAAAGGCCTGCTTATATTATACATAGTAAGAACATGTAGCCAAGAAGAAAGGCCTGTAATGAAGGCCTACTTGTATTATATGTGATAAGAAACTATTCATTAGTACTTTAGGTAGAAGGCTAATGATTCTTAGAATGAGCACCTGCTACACATCATGAGAAAAAGGAGGGGCTACAAGACACTTCAAGGTCCTTATGTACATACTTTGCAGGAAGGGAGGCCATTAATTGCCTCCAGCAACATCCTTATCTTTCTGAGGAGTATAGCAAACAATTACCAACACCGAAATATTGAGAAACTAGGGGAAAGGTAATTTGGGCCAGGGTCCCCACGACCACCTACCCATAAGCCCCCTACCCAAATTATACCACCTACTCAAAAGATAGAGGCGGAGAAAGGAACTGAGCATGCGTTCTAGTTTGCATACTAGGCAAATAAATATGAACCAATTATTGTAACGGGGAGTGTACCACTTTGTAATCTTTGTAACATTGGTTTATAAATATGACAAGGGAACCAGCATTAGGGTGCCTGATTAGAGGAACTATCCTCCTGACACCCAGCGCTGCAATAAAGGAAATGCCTGCTTCTTAATGCTAAATTGGTGTTAAGGAGCTTTCTTTCATTCCCAAATTTCGGTGACAATAGCTCTTCAATGAACTGGCCAAAAGTGAATGCCAAGCTCTAATAATATTTGTGATCTGGCTGAAAATAAGTAAGTCTGCTTGCATGTAGATTTAGTTTATAGTGCTTCTTTCAAGTGGCTGTGATATGAACTGTGACCAGGATAAGGATCTGCTTTGAGCTGTGAGTTCGCTCTGAAATGAATTGTAACAGTCCAGGCAGTGCTGGACAGACACATAATCTCTGCACAATTTAAGGGAGAAGCATTTTAGCCCAGGAACTAAAGAGATGTTATCATTTTATATGAAAGTTGCTAAGATCAGACAATATCAAATGAATTTTAACTGGATGGATGTCATTAAGCAGGTGGTCATTACTGTCGATATTCCTCTGTGGTTTTGTTTTCTGATTGGAAATGAAGAAAGATTTCTGTACCTGACTTTTGCCACTTGAGATTCTTGGTGACATGACTTCTCATTGGAGCTGGGAGGCAGTCACTCTGGATTTTTTTGAAAATGAGTGACCATAAGAAATGAATTCCACTAGAGAAAGAGAAAGGATAATAATTGATTATTTCAGGGGAAGTTGCCTTTGTGGAATGAGAAGTGTGAAATGAATCCTGGGACAGTTCTTTTACCATATGTGCTGCTACTTTGGAGGTTTTAATTGGCTGTTGCCTACACAGTGTGTGGAAATCTCAATGCATCTGAAACATTTCCTCCTTAGGAAACAGTCCACAACCTGTGGTTTAGTCCTTTATCCACCAGGCTTGCTTACTGTGAGATACAGATAAAAGATGTGCTTTCAAGACTGTTTTCTGTGTACCTTGCTCAGCTAGGGATGTGGATTCTAGGCTGCTCAGGTTCATCTTCCAATTTGGTGGTCGCTCCTTCTGCCAAGCTTAAGTCAGGCTTCTCCCACTTTAGCTGAAGGAATTTTTCCATCAAGTCAGCTCCCACATTGAAGACCAGAGCCAGCCAGGCCAAGCCAAAAACAATCCAAATTGCAGTTAGGCTCCGGTATACTGGGATATAGTGCTTGTTGGGGTTTGTGCCTGAAAAATCCAGGAAACTGCATATTAATCTTGACAGCTTCAGTCTGTCAGACAACATGCATACTCATACACCCTCTCCACCCCTTGCAAAAGTGTATGTTTAACAAGTCTGTGTAATCTATGAGCATTCTTTTTTTTTTTCTCTTTTTGTGTTCCAACTCTCAGGTTAAGCTTAGCACAGTTGGCATCAAATCTCTGAAGCTGAGGCTATATAATAAAAATAGCCATATCTAATGTTAATCAGGAATGCACAAAATCGAGTGTTCCTAGCCACCGAGAAAGAAAAAAATCAACTTGGAAACCCAATGTTGAATCTGTATTAGCCATATTTTACTCAAGAGACACAAAGGGGATCTCAGATGATTTAGAAACATATGGTTTACTACCTCAGTGATATAGTGAGTGCTTTTTGTAGAGTGATATACCTCAGTAACCAGGCTTCAAGATCACCTAGAGAATATTATATGGGAAATGCAGACATTTTAAGTAAGTGATTATGGGAATCTTAATCCCCAATTTGATAATGCCACAGCATGGACAATTGGTGCAGCTGATACAGGCAGAGGTCAGCACTGCAGCCCTCCATTTAGTATCTGTCATCCAGATCATTGTGAAACTCCACAGTGCCCAGATTCAGCATGGGACGGGTTTTTATCTCCCTTTGGGACATAGTTATGACCTCTAGGAGAGAAGGAGTAACAGACCCAAGAGTTTTTAAACAAATAAACTCACTATACATAATCTGTTAAGAGCATTTGTTCAAATGTTTGGGTGGAAAAATAGCCCTTCACGTGTCTGCCCCTACTGCTATGTCTCAGCCTCGATCTCTACAGACTATGTAATCTCACTGGGTTTGTTTTCTTTCACAGGCATCCTGGGGTTGCCAGTAATATTGTCTCCTTTGTAAGTACTGATCATTTCATATTTGACATGATTTCTCTTTGGGAATGGTGGGCATTTGCTGAAACAAATCACTGTTAAGAGAGGGTGGTTCAAAGGCTTAATACTGACAAAGAGATTTCATTTATATTCCACCTGTCACTCATGGATCATATTTGTACCAGCTTTGACATAGTCACCATCAAATGTGTGTTCAGTGGCATATGTGAAATGAGTTTGGTGACTCTCAGCGTAGCTGCCAAGAGAAAAATGCCCGTGTCATATAATACATTAGGTCATTATTACCAATCTGGCTCAGCTTGCTCTTGTACCAGATTTATCGTGGAATGGATACCTATGGTCTCTGTATTTAGCTTTATATTAGACTAACTAATTTCAATAAAGCTCGATACAGTTCACCTTCTTTATTACCTACTACATAGTCCCCAAATCCAATGGTGCTCAGGGTGATGAAGGTGAAGTAAAAGCCTTCTCCATAGCTCCAGCCTTCTACGTAACTGAAGACCAGTGGTGGGAATACTAGAAAAAGCAAGGTCCCAGTGGTCAGGAAGATGGCCACTGCCAGTGTTTGAACCACCTGAAAAATAAAAGGAAGATGGCAGCTAAACAGCACTGAGCAATTGTCTAGTGGAAATTGCTGGGTCTGTTTTGCTCTTGAATCACTAACCCACTCCAGCTGGGAACAATGTCCAAAAAATGAAGGATAAACCAATGCTTCCACGCACTGCAGGCTGATCTCACTGTTTACCCTGCACATAGATATCGTACCTAATCATGAATCCAAAAAATCTCAATATTAGGAAAAAAAGGAGGATTTTAAAAAGCTTTTTTGCAATAAGTTTTACAGTATGCTCAAGTCATGTTTTCAAACTTATTATGGCAACCATAGGAATGAAATACTCACTTTACAATTTCAATTCAAGTGGAGATTCTTTCATAATCAATTGGCTCCTGTGTTTGAGGAAAATCAGCAAGTATTGCATAACTCCTGATACAAAGATTGGCAAGAACAAATTAAGAGTTCTCTTCACCATGACTGCTTCCAAAGATTTATAAAGTGGCTTGCAAGAGCTGAGCCAAAAATATGCTTGGATGAAATCTAAGTGAAGTCAGTTTGCCTGCTTTTATTTTTAAATTAGAAGTATACAAAGCAGAACTGTTTTCTGTCAGCACAGGGCAGATCTGCGTCTCTTAGTACAAATGTCTGCCTTCTGGGAGATAAGTTACAGCATATGTAGCTGCAATAGATAGATAGGTACACAGAATGGTCAGTGACAGGGTCATGACAGGGGATTTTAGGAGTTTGGGATTGAGGATCAGGAGGAATTCTGGATTTCCAGGGAACGTGCTCTGGTGAATTTTTGACTAGTCATGTGGCGGCTGATGGAAACTCCTTGCCATTGTTTAAAAATGCCCTCAAGGATATTCAAACCAGAGTATGATTTTCTATGCATGCACTTATTGTGACTGGATGAAAAGCCAAACCAGTCTTTATAAACTAGAAGGCCCAGGTATCATGTTTTTCTTTCTCTGTCTGTATTAACTCACATATAAAATAGTCGGCTGAGCTTGAGAAACTTGGCGTAAGCCTACTGGGTGACTTTGACAAATCACTTCTAGATTGTGTACCATGTCTCTCCAGCTATGTAATAATACTTACCTCATTTACAAAGCACTTTGAGAATTACTGATCGACATGGTTATAGTTGATATCTGTTCTCATTTAGTTCCTTCCAGAAGTGTGATAGCATTTAATTAGATAATAAAGTTTGCATAAAACTTTGCACTGAAATGCACACTATTACTTTTTTCCCCGGCTTTTAAGAACTTTGTGGTACAAACCTATAAGGTAGGGGACAGTATGTCAGGAATGAAGAAGAACTGATTGTAATTAATTTCCCAAAGCATGACTAAATTATGTTTAAAAGGAGATGAACCGACTTCCTGGAAGAGGCTTTTCAGAGGGAACAAGCAGATACAGCTCCCAAGCTTTGTCTGATCATAGGAGTTCTGCCAGAAATGAGTGAAAAGGGAAAAAAAAAATTACATCCCTGAGATGCTATTAGAAATCTCAGGAAAGATGCAGCTATAGTAGCATGAAAATTCTTCTGGTGGTAGAGCTGCATGTATTTGGGGAACAGACATAGGTTATGCAGCTACAGAACTTCTTGTTCATATAAACCAAGTCGGCATTTGACAGTAGTTTTATAGCTTTCCCAGTGTAGGTAAAGAATGCAGTCACTCAGAGATTTTATAAATTAAAAAGAGAAAGAAACTTGTGCCAGAAGTCTGAAATGTTTCAACATATCTAACATATCTAATCTCCCTTTTCCCTAACTAAAGAGGTCAATTCATTGAACCTTTACTCAGAAACATGCACTGACTTTGCTATAAATGACCTTCATGTATTTTCTATTATCAGTGCTTCCCCTATTCCAATACATCTGGACTAGTTCAATGACTCACAAACTAACTATAACTAAGGAGAAGGAATATTTATTTACATTTCAAGAAAAGGAAAGGAAGGAAGTGCTAAATTGCTGGCACAATCGCGGAAGGTAATTCAAGCCAGATTAGCAGGCCAATAAAAATAAGTTGTCTTTGTACAGCGTAAATCTAGATTCTGAATAGATGCTAGCATAGGCGAGATAATGAGAGCTTGATTCAGCAATGTGTGTATGTAGGTGTATTCTGCTAAGATCACCAAAGCTTAAGGACCCTGCTCAAAATTGAGGCCATGCTTGCTTAACAGTTTTGCTGAGTCAGATTCTAAAAAGGCAAATCTAGAGTCCCTCAAGCAAAAGCAAATTGCTTTAAAGCTATCGTAGATAAATAGAATATATCAATTTTCTTATATAGAGGGCCACATAATTACTGTGGTTCGGAAAAATGTAGGCACATACAAGGAAACCCAGTCTAGCAATGGCAGTACATATCTGAGAAGAGAACTTTAATTAGTTTTAAAATAGTGGAAATAAATGATGGATTGACACTGTACCTGGGCACGGCCTGGCTTTTGCACCCATCTTTCCAGGGTAATCAGATGAGCATTGAGGCCTTTCCCCAACTGATTAAGGAAGGCCAGGTTGAGGGGCACGCCGAATAAGGCATAAAACACACAGAAGATCTGCCCTGCCACTGTGCTGGGGGATAGGTTACCATAACCTGGAAAAAAAAGAAGAAAACAGCTACATGAAAAGGCTTTACAGTCAGGCTGCAGGCCATCATGTGAAGTTCCTAGGCTTGGAAGCTCAACTACATTAAGCTTCAGGAACCTGTGGACCTATGATTTTCTGCAATTAAATCTGCCTACAAAGTGCCATAGCTTATGATGGAGCCCTGTGCATTCACTACTACTAACAGAAAATTTAACATGTGAAAAATACTACTCTTAAAAAGTACTGTAATTTTCTATAGGTCTCTGATTTTGTGTGAGTGCAACTGAGTGCTTCAAAGCAATCTCAAGATGCGCCGTGCATGTACAAAATGATATTGCATTTACTAAGTAGGCACTCAGCTTTTTTTGCAGGTGTAATATGCTGGATACACAAGAATAACAGGTATAATTGGAAACCAATAGAAAACCATAGCCCACAGTAGACAAAATTGTCTTGCAGATGCATTCTGCCTACCAATTGCACATTTCTGGGGGCTTTACAGGACAGCTAGAGGAAATTCCAATTTATAATGAAAGAGAGTACCTCACCTATAGTGGTGACAACAGTTCCTGCAAAAAAGAAGGAGTTGCTGAAGTCCCAGTTACTGGGATTTGTAGAGTTTCCTTCTGGGTTGACCCCTTTTTCCCATGCTTCCATGAGGACCTGAGGCAGAAGAGGTCAAAGGAGCAAAAATGAGCAACCCGTTAGACCCAATCAGGAAGAATGTCAGAAAAAAAGAGAGAAGTAAATATTGCTTTCCATCTTGAGCAAGCAGAGCAATAAACAGTGTAGATAACAGGATAGAGTTTGACTAAAATGGCCTTGTGCTGACATGGAAAAACTTGGAAATAGAGCTGGCCAGGAACTTGAACACTTATCACTGGAGAACTGGCCATTGAGGTAGGATAGGTTCCATAACTAGTTGAAGGGGAAGGGTAAAGGGAAGGGGAGGGGGAAAGGAGTGGAGGGAGTCCCCAAAGTGACCAAAAAAGGAAAACAAAGTGGAATTATGCTATAAAAAATAAAGGCAATTCCTCTTCCCTCCTTCCCTAGTCTAGTCATCTCACTCCAGTTTTTAATTTGGACATGTGTAAATGTATGGTTGTGTCTGTGGGGAGGGGCATGGGGAACAAGCACATTTCTGTTTCCTCCATGTAAGTACTAGTGAAGATAAATCACTGTTTTGGCTATGACTTCCCAATAATTTTCAATGAATATTAGACTTCTAGTCTGAAAGATTAGCTAATGAAATAATCTATGCTATTCCAGATAGCTCTTACCAGATGACCAAAACTACTATGTGCAAATGAAATGCTGTTCCTATTTATGCATCAAATATCTTGTTAGCTTCCTTAGTGAAGACTCTGTCCTTTTGCTCCACCCAAGGATTTCTCTGAAGGAGACTGGTTATCCTTTGCTCAGTGGCTGGGTTTCAAGAACCCCTTTGTTACATACCAATTTTGAGGTCCAGGTCACAGCCTTTGTCATTTTGCCAAATGCCTGAAGGAATTACTTGTTCATCTCTTCTAGAGACTTTTGTGTGATGCAAGACATGAGCAGGATTCAACAGCAATTCCAGCTCTAGTTGGTTCCAGGAGTATGAGACCAAAGAAGATATTCAAATGTTGACCACTGCCGAAAGGATTGCTTATCTGATGAACATACCCACTACAAGGTATCTGATTTTGCATAGGTTCTGCAGTATGACCTGATACAGGCTGATGGATTGAGTATCCTAAGTTTAATAGCTAATGTTATTCCTTCAGTAAAAAATCCTACAGCATTGGTCAAGTCCATTAGGCATCATCGCATGTGATCTCACTATTGAAGTGTCAGCAGTTTCTTTTCAATATGACAAAGACCTTTAAAATCCATTAAAAGCTTGCTCTTAGAATTGGAAGAATTCGACATGTCAAATTTTTTAGAGTTGACTATTTTGTTTGCTGATTAGAAGGAACACACAGAAGCTACGGAGGTGCGAGTCTTTTGAAATGTCTAAAATAATTACAGGTTTAATTCATCCCTGTAAGGAACACTTGTCAGTTCTATCCATTTCGATGCACAGGAGTTCAGAGGAGCTAAATTCACATCATGAGAGCCAACATGGAAGAGTAAGGCAATGTTGAACACTTCAGACATAGTCTGCCAAGGCCAGATGTCTTGGTATGATTGTTGCTTTTTTTACAACCCCATGAAAGAAATGGCATCCTGGTGCCCAGGAGAATAATTTCTAAACAAACAGGTTCATGTGGGACAGTTATAATGGCTCCTGGCTCCTTTCCATCTACAGCTTGGGTAATGATTATGGCTGGAGTGCAAACAGAGCAGCTGTTGAATGGTTGTGAACATTAGCTGTTGCCTTTGGAAGCAGGAATAGCCAGTAAGTAAAAGCAATGTGCTACAATTTACAGGAAGAGTATGAAGTCTACATAAAGCTATAGCAGGACGTGGAGAGAATAAAAACTGCTTGCCATTTCTGCTCCTGTCCCCTGCCAACTGCAGCCACTTGTGGTCACGGATTTTGTCCTCTTGGTCCGTATTTATATCAGTTCCTTTGAGGCTGGAAAAGTACGGACGTAATCAAACCAGGGACTTCAAAAAGGTACCTCCTTGCTCAATGAATCTGCTTCTCAGTTATACTGTCAGAATGGCATAATTTTCTGACCAAAATATGTTTAGCAGAGACACATTAGACTGCACAGTTTGGATTTGCACTTTCGCAAAGCTCCAGGCCGTTCGGCTTAGGAGTTGTAGCTCAGGGCCACCTCTCAGCTAGGCAGTTTTAGCCAAGCAGAGCCAATGCAGTTTACGGACATGGAACTGCAACAATTTGCTTAATGCACAATCAAGTAAAAAAGTTAATGAATTATAAGGGGTGACTCCACTATTAGTGATAATAGATATGCAAAAAGAAATCGGGGTTGACTGTCAGATTCCAGGATTTAGGTTTAAAGAACTGGCAATAAGACAAGACACCTTATACTTGTCAGCTGAGCAGACTGAATCTAGTGTCTGCATCTCACCGCAGCCTGAATACTGTGGCTTTTCAGACTGAAACTTCTGACATGATGAACGGGCCTTCTTAACCATATAGTTAAAACATATAGAGAGATGATTGCCTCCCTGCATTAGTTTTAGAGATTTAATATGGAAAGACTTCTATTCCCTGACTTGCCTGTGGAAAGACTTCTATTAGTAAGAGCTGGACAAATTTCTTAAGAGGTCTTATAAATGGCGAGTCAGAGGGCACCTGCACTTAAATTTAACTTGAGGACTATCAAGTTTAAGTACTTTGAAGCTTGGTGCATTGTAGATGATAATTTGGTGCCCTCAGCTGGTTTTGTCTGGAACAGCTTACAAGTGAAATGTATCTAATTCAGGAAAGATGCAGCAAAATGTGTGCTGGATTAAGGGCTAAGGAAGCTTCACTGGAGCCAGACAGAGGAGAATCTGGAACTGTGTGAACCCTCCCTAAGGTTTCTAGGGTACCAGAGATTTAAGTAAACCTTTCAATCCTATGAAGTATCCCAATTTGGTTTAGAATGGGAATCAGGGTTTTCTCCTCTACAATCATTTATCACAGAGATAAGGGAAAGACAGGTAATATCACCAACTGGTGAAGCTGAAAAAACCAAACGTTTTTAGGCATGTAAGTTCTTGAAAACTCTAGTCTTTTTCCGGCCAATGTCAAATGTTCCACAAAAAATATATCACAGTATTAGTAATCAGAACATTGTCCTTGTAGACAGAGGTTCAGGCACCTTCTCTTTCCTTTCTGATCTGAACTTCACTGTTTGCTTAAATCCATTTACAGAATCTGGGCTCTTTGTTGATCAAAAGCATATATACCTTCATGGAAGTTCTCTGACTTGGACACTAAATTCGCAGCATGTTTAGAGTTTCTATCAGGTTTAATGACATGGTAGAAAGAGTTCAAACTGTTTAGACACCCAGCTGTGCAACTGGATAAATTTTGAGCGTGAAGAAAGTGGAAGTTCAAGGATTTCTGTCTAGTTCTTGCAATACTAGAATGAGAATATGTCTGTAATAATACCAAGAACAGTCTAGTAATTTATCTCCAGCTAGTTCTGAGGTATAGATCAGAATGTAATTGAAGATGTCATTAATTGACAACCCATATTTGAGCAAGAGCCCTTTATGTCTTATTATAAGTGATAGATAATACTTCATGAGATGCTTGGCTACAACAGTATAATTTCTTCTAACCAAAATAATGCTTTAGCCAAAATAATGGCAGCCTGTTCTTCTTACCTGTACAAACTGCTCCAGGGCTTGCCTGTCCAAGCATGTGTAGTTCTGCAGGAACTTGAGCTTCTCCAGCTGGAACTGGTCCCGAAAGTGGGTCTCTGCCTGCTTTTCCAGCAGCTGGAACACCATGGCGCCCAGGAGGAGGTAAAAGAGATACCCCAGTACCAGCAGCGGAGTCCAGCTGATCTGCCGGTTGTGTACAGTGAGGATGGGCATGCTGCTGCTCTGCTGCTGCCAGTCCCTGCTCAGTACTTAATAGGTTGCTGTCCCAAGACGTGTGCTACCCAGGAATCACACACCCGTGTTCCCAGCTCCTGCCCTGGAGAATTTTTTAACAGAATATACGGATATCAGGCCTATACAAAATGAGACTAACAGGCAAATTTTATCCCTCCACATCTTTTCTCTATCCAAAATAAAGGGAGACCATTTATGGCTTAATAAGAAGGTGAATCACAGTGTTTTTCTCCTATTAAAACATCTTTATCCAAAGATCTCAATCAATTGAATGAAGCCGGACACAAGTCTTCTGAGATTAGTATTATTTTCCAGGCTGGGAAGCTGAAGTGAAACTTCAGGGTCATACGAATATAGAGTCACGGATAGACTCTTAAAGTCTTGACAAGTAAAGCCTTACTCTAAACACTAGACTTCTGTACAAGAAAACACTATAAACTCTCTAATTACGGTGGACTCCCCAGAACAAAGAAGAGTATGGAGCTGAATAAATGGAAAAGTCAATAGCTGCCGTCTGTACCATACAAACATTGCTGACACCAGTGAAAGCAGCATGATGAAGCTCATAAACATCCTGAATTCAGCCTGGTCACAAGACAGACCTCTTTCTTTTCTAACCCTAATAAGCTCAGTCCCCTCACTGCCTGGCCTGTTGCTCCTGAATTCTTTGTCAGGTGACTCCACCCTTTAGTCCATAGAGTTAGAGAATGAACCACTCATGCCTACTGCTTTCAGTCTCCGTATTGCCCTTTTAATCCAAATACATAAGGGGGAAGGAGGGCTTAAGGTTAATCGTTAGCTACAAAAGTACCAGAGGTTCACTCATGGGAGCCTTAATGATTATCATGCACTGGAAATGAGCTGGGCTTGCATATTTTTCCGTAGGAAGAGCTTTACAGTTAGTGTCATCTATGCCACACTGCTTCTGAAAGAAAACACGCACACTCACACAGAGCAAGGCAGCCATGTGGCTAGGGCTGCAATTGTGCTATTAAACTCCCTTCCCGTTAAAATGTTCTGGATACAGATATCCCTTCTTTGCTTAGTATTCAGATTGTTTTTCACCTACCTTCAAACAAGAGGTAGCACTCAGAAAAAAGGACAAAAAATGGTTTCATTCATATCTGTATCTGGGAAAGCCCCTGTACTCGCCATTTGAACTGTGCTCCTAGGGCCAGCCATCTCCACCCAGAAGAGGATGACTGGCAGCAGAAGGCCACTTGTCACTCTGGAAAGTGAAAAGTATTGTGGGGAACTCCCAGAAGAACATCTTGGACTTTGTCTGGGACCATTCTGTTGCTGTGATTGGGGAACAGAAAGATTTCAGTAGAGAAGTGCAACGTGCAAGGACTCAGAGCCTTAGTGCTCTGGCATTTCTTTTCAGCTCAAGTGAAGCATTTGGGAGACAGAAGCTATAGTGGCATTCATATTACCCAGCACTGCAATGACATTATGAAGCAAACTGATCTGAAGCAACTGAGATGTCCAACTTGTCACTGATGGAAGGCTTTCTCTTGGTCTCTCCTAAGGATGACAATTACTTTCCAAATATCTAACAAGAACTTCTCTCTTGTGTCTGATTTCCATAATTGAAAGGTACAGCTTGTTGTTCCATACCTTGTGAAATGTTATGGGCAGACAAGCCTGGGATGTTGCACAACTGCCTGTTGCACTAGCAGGGCTGTTTCTGGTGAGAGATCCAGATGTTTGTCATGGTGTAGTTTATAGGACCTGTGTTTACCAGTCCAAGAGAATGCTAGCCTACTGGCTTTCTGGAATGGGTGCAAACACATGTGCATAGCTGGGCTGAGACAAATTCCCCTAGTTGAAGTAGGTTTCCCAATTAAGGGTATCAAACTATTAACTAAGTTATAAATGAACAAATACAGCACTGAACCTCTTTTATGTCCCCTTCTGTTCTGTCTAGTTCAGTTCAACAAAGCATTCCAGCTGCCAAACTTGGCAGTCTAAATTATTCCTTAAGAAAAAAATGTCCACTTAGTCTTACTTTTAGGATCTTAATTTTCTGAGGGTTTTGTGAATTGAGTCACAAAAGGTGTATTTAGTTCTATACTTTAGATATTCCTACTTAAAGTACTTCAACATTAAAGGTGTATCCTATTTGGTTGGCCAAACGAAATAATTTCTAAACAACTTTCAGAGGAGGTGGTATCTTTACCATGACTATTATCGGAAAAGCATTTAGAAAAAAAGGCACACACCCTCCCCCCCCAACTATTAATGGCTAATATAACAAACAGCTGGAGAGAACTTTAAGAGACACATGAAATATGTGATGTGTCCTGGGGCTGATGTAGAAAGCAGCGTTTCTGCAGAAAGATGGAAAAAAAAAAAAAATCAATTGTATGTGCACAAGACACTGCAGAGTAAATATGCAGTTAGAGATGAACCACTTTATAGCTGAATGACCTTACAGATAAATGCAAGGGCAAAATCATGAATCAAACATTTAAGAAAGTATTTTCATAAACATGCACAATTCCATACAGATGAGCAGAGTAGCGTGCTCTGAAAATGTGAAAGACAAGAGCCTGTAAGTAGCTAATGCTGCCATATTTACTCCAATGGAAAAGCTACAGAAATATGTACCTATACATTTCAAGTTATAGAAATCATCAATATTCTGTTCGCAAAGGTTTTTTTTTTCCCCCTGATGTCAGGCTGCAACATAGGACTAAACTGAAACAAGAATCTGTGCAGTAGCCCAGAAGTTATGTCTTGCCACAGGAAAAAACAAACTCAAATATGTCATTTGGAAGTAAACTGAAGACTCAAGTTTTCTGAGTGAGTTCTGAATCTGGAAGAGGGAGCTCAGCATGGCTTACCATATCAGAAATTAAATTTGACTTCCACATAAGGCGTAATATACAATATGCTGAAATAACAATACTAGCAGATCCCTTTTGATGATGGGATGACAGACCACACTGTCTAATCTAACTTCTCTTGTTGCTCTTTTAATGTTCTTCTGATTAAAAAAATAAACAAAACCTGAGTTCACAAACATTAGAAATAAAAAAATGCTGAAAGCGAAAACTTCTTGAGAGTAGCTGAACTTAGAAGTTGACTGTTACTCAGAGGTCCTGCTGTTCCAGCACGCTCTGCCAATGTTAAACATAAGAGTACGTTTGTCTCTGTACAGAACTAGATGACAAACTGGATGCAAAGCTCCAGGGACCCTTTCTTCCACAGGGTATGCGTTTCAGCCTGAACAGTTTGTACAGGGAAATACGGAATTGTTTTGAATCTCCTTTGCTCCTTGACTGACTTTTAAACCCTGCACTTCAGAGAAGAGTTAAGGAAATTATTTTAGAACCATGTTAAATACAAATAACAGTAACATTGCATTTCTTCAGGCATGACACTGCTGCCTGGCAATTTTCTACTTCTTATTTTGTTCTCACTCCAAATTTAAACCAAGCATTTTGACTTCCTGATTTACACTCACATAGGTGAAAACATGAAGCATTTTCAGATAAAAGTTATAGAGAGTTCCAAGATTTCAATAGCATTTTTGTCATACAGATTCCATTGGGGGCGGGGGGGGGGGGGGGGGGAGCTG